CCCCCGTTCAACAGCCTGTGCATTGGCATACCAGATGATATAAGTGCTATTCTTGCCAAGGAACCAACAGCAAGCTTTGTATTGGGGTACCAAATCCATGGTTTGGTGCTCTTCTTTGAGTACAGAGACGTTGGTGGCTTAGTGGCAAACCATAAGGTCGTAAATTCGAATCCCGTCAGGGGCCCGACGTTGTGTCCTTTGGGAAAGGAACTTTACATGAATTTTCTTCACTTTACCCTGGTGGGAATGGGTACCCAGTGAAAGATCCTCTAAGCTTGTTAGTGTTTAAACGCTTAATCAACTGTTTGCACTGTATGCTTCCTGGGAAGCTGGGGATGTTTGCGAGAGTTCTATGGTCTGCTGGGGTAATAATAATGTAGTGTAAAGCTCATAGAGCTGGCTGGCGAGCGGGGATATGCACTTTATTATTATTTTTTATGTTTAAAAAAATTATCATTATTATTATTATTATTATTATTATTATTATTATTATTATTATTATTATTATTATCATCATCACCATCCCCAAATCTATGTTTAGATACTGTTCTAGCCTTGGAACTATCAACATAATTATTAAATGGGTACACTAGATCTATATGTGTTGTGCTTGGGATACGGTATCAGATCTATGTGTGGTGCTGTTATATAGCCAACACATCATCAACAGTCTATCATAGTCTATGTATGTATTGAAATACCAGATCATATTTTAAGGTACCACTCAAAGAAGAGAACCATCAACAATCTGTGTATGGGGTTACTGACCCTGACCTCACGTCTACGTGCTATTCTAACCATTAATATAGTACTTGGGTACTAGATATATGAATAATATATAAGGTGCTGTTGTAGCCAATATAGACCATCAACAGTTCATGTATTAGGGCTCCAGCTGGACGTTCAGAGATAGTAAGAACGTATAAAGGTACCAGCCATCTATTTTTAGGGGTTATGTTAGACAAGGAACCATCAACAGTCTATGTATTGGGGTGCCAGCTACCTATGTAGGGGTTATCTAAGCCAAGGAACCATCAACAGTCTATGTTTTGGGGTGCTAGATACTACATTTAAGTGCTATTCTAATCATGGAACCATCAACAGTCTATGTATTGGGGTGCCAGCTACCTATGTAGGGGTTATCTAAGCCAAGGAACCATCAACAGTCTATGTATTGGGGTGCTAGATACTACATATAAGTGCTATTCTAATCATGGAACCATCAACAGCCTATGTATTGGGGTGCCAGCTACCTATGTAGGGGTTATCTAAGCCTAGGAACCATCAACAGTCTATGTATTGGGGTACTAGATACTACATTTAAGTGCTATTTTAACCATGGAACCATCAAGAGTCCATGTATTGGGGTACCAGCAAGGAGTGGGTACCAGCTACCTATGTTATGGCGTTGTGTAGACCATCAACAGTCTATATATTATTGTGGTACGTTTGTACCAGCTATCTACGAGCTGTGCGTTTATAATAGGTTCAGCACAACTTTTAGGTGCTGTTTTAGCCAACTGAACAGCTACAGTCTGACAATGGCAATGGCAATGGCAATCTTTAGATCTATTCATCTCGCAGGGAGACATTTGTCTTGGTCGTTTACATTGGCAGTTGGTGTTACAAAGGTTAGATGTACTCATGCATACGCACAACAAGACAGGACATTCGTAAATACATGTCTCACGTGCTGAAACATCTCTCTCTCTCTCTCTCTCTCTCTCTCTCTCTCTCTCTCTCTCTCTCTCTCTCTCTCTTGAGACAACAGAGGGAAAGTAAAGAAGTAGAGCCTACAAGGGACTCAATGGAAAGAAATGATTGTTAATCTTTGATATTGTGTTGGCTGTCACTCTTTTCCGTAATTACTCCGCGTTAAGTTTACTTTAGGTACTGTTTTAACCACGGCTGCCGATGATGATTTCATTTTCTTAATGTTAGGATGTGTGTGAGTGTGTGTGTGTGTGTGTGAGAGAGAGAAAGAGAGAGTGTGTGTGTGTGTGTGTGTGTGTGTGTGTGTGTGTGTGTGTGTGTGTGTGTGTGTGTGTGTGTGGT